TCCTACATTTTTCAGGCTCGGTCAGTGCTGCTACGTGCCTGTCTCTGGAGAAACCTGTTACAACAGATACGTTTACAACACGTTTACTGTAAATGGATCTGTTGGAAGAAGTCCAGAGGAGGGCCACGAGAATGATCAGGGGACTGGAGCACCTCCCATATGAAGATAGGCTGAGAAAGTTAGGACTGTTCAGCCTGGAGAAGAGAAGGCTGCATCGAGACCTCATAGCAGCCTTCCAGTATCAGAAGGGGGTCTATAGGGATGCTGGGGGTGGCCTCTTCATTAGGGACTGTAGTGATAGGACAAGGGGTAACGGGTTAAAACTTAAACAGGGGAAGTTTAGATTGGATATAAGGAGGAAATTCTTTCCTGTTAGAGTGGTGAGGCACTGGAATAGGTTGCCCAAGGAGGTTGTGAATGCTCCATCCCTGGCAGTGTTCAAGGCCATGTTGGACGAGGCCTTGGGTGATATGGTTTAGAGCGAGGTGTCCCTGCCCATGGCAGGGGGGTTGGAATTTGATGAGCTTAAGGTCCTTTCCAACCCTAACTATTCTATGATTCTATGATCCTATGTCAAATCACACAGTAAAATAGCTGATAGTACTGAAAAATGCAAAGTAGTAGTGGGGGGCTGGGGGAATAATCCTAATTGTCTGTAACAGAACAATTAATTACTACAACTTTGGAAATAGTTTTTGAACCTCTGTGGATAGCTCTCAAGGCTCTTCAAAATGGCAAGTAAAATGTTGGGAATGAGAACAAAACAGAAAACATCATTATGTCTGTATACCCACATGCTATCCCAGAAAATAGCATGGAACTATTTGAAAAATTATAAAGAACAACAAGAAGAATCAGAAGCATGGAAAGGCGTTCATCTCACATGAGATTAAATAAAACTAGGGCTCTTCAGCTTGAAAATAAGATGAGTGATGGGAGAGCTATAGGCATGAAAGTGATGGAGAAAGAGAAGATGGAGTCATTACTTGCTCCAGTAAGTGCCAGGAGCCATGAGAGAAACCAGGGGATCAACTGATAGATTTTGTTGATTATAATGTTTTCCAAATGCCTGCTTCTGGTCACTGCTCGAGGCAAAATGTTGGCTTAAATTGACTGATCGGATCCAGTACTTATCCTGCAGTGTTCTCAAGCCATGTTTTTTAAATCTTGTGTTGCACAATTCCTCTGTTTGGCTGCCTCCATTTAAAACTGTGCACCTGGGGAACAGCAACAGTACAGTGAGACACCAATAAACGTCAAATCAGAATAGTCAGTTCTAAGGCAGAATCTCATGACTTTCGGGGAGCTTAGTAAATGCAGATAAAATGCGCAATGAATTATGAGTCCAATGATGACCTTAACCAGTGGTATGAAATATGCATGAGCAATAGTTCCATGTCCTGTGGACTTATAACGGACAATTTTGCACTTTTTTCTTTCTTTTTTTTTTTTTTATTAAGTATCATTTTGTGGAAGCAGAATGACTGAAAATCACCATCTCCATAATTTTCACATTTCCTGCTCTCTGCTGCTGCCCCTATAAGGACATAGTCACATAGCCCTGATGCTGGCCAGCTCATTTTCATACTTCGGCAGCATCACTGTTCCCACTGTCATGGTAACAGATGGCTTTGATTACTTATTTGCCTAGAATTATTTGAACATTACATGACAAAGAAGGGCCATGACATAAACAGTAACGAAAGCATACCATGTGTCGATAACCTCCTGATGTGTTCCTGGGGACCAGCACTTGGGTGCATCCCACTTTCTTTTCAAAAGACAGAAAAAATGCACTTCCTCTAAAAAAAAGGGTTAAAAGAAAATAAGATAAAGAATTATCTGAGAAAGACTTGGGGGTGCTGGTTGATGAGAAAATGAACATGATTCGGCTTCTGTGTGCGCTCGCAGCCCAGAAAGCCAACCGTATCATGGGCTGCATCAAAAGGAGTGTGACCAGCAGGTCGAAGGAGGTGATCCTGCCCCTCTGCTCTCATGAGACCTCATTTGGAGTATTATGTGCAGTTCTGGTGTCCTCAACATACAAACAACATGGAACTGTTGGAACAATTCCACAGGAGGTCCACGAGGTTGATCAGGGGACTGGAGCACCTCCCATATGAAGATCAGCTGAGAAAGTTGGGGCTGTTCAGCCTGGAGAAGAGAAGGCTGCGTCGAGACCTCATAGCAGCCTTCCAGTATCAGAAGGGGGTCTATAGGGATGCTGGGGGTGGCCTCTTCGTTAGGGACTGTAGTGATAGGACAAGGGGTAACGGGTTAAAACTTAAATGGGGGAAGTTTAGATTGTATATAAGGAGGAAGTTCTTTACTGTGAGGGTGGTGAGGCACTGGAATGGGTTGCCCAGGGAAGCTGTGAATGCTCCATCCCTGTCAGTGTCCAAGGCCAGGTTGGACAGAGCCTTGGGTGATATGGTTTAGTAGTCCCTTCCCATGGCAGGGGGGTTGGAACTAGATGATCTTAAGGTCCTTTCCAAGCCTAACTAGTGTATGATTCTATGATTCTGTAAAACACAGATATTTGTTCATCTTTCGCAGATGTATAGCTTTTTTGCTTCTTTTAAAGTATAGGCTACAATTCAAAATAGAAAAAGAATTTCTGACATTGATTTCATCATCATTGGGTCTGAAAAGTTCCAATCTATTACTCAAACATAACCCCAGATATTCGTAATAACAATAAAGCAAAGGCCCACATTATTTGTGCAAATGTAATGGTGTTCTGATCATTAAAAAAGCTAGAGTATGTGCATGATACAACTGAAAGCATGCTGTTAACAATAAAAACAAAAGATAAGCACTTCCATGCTGCTAAATAACTGGAATATTTGCCATATTTGCTAACATACTAATTAGATTCTCTTTTGAAAGTTTTATCTCAGATTTTCTTTAAAAGTCTATCCTTATTACTGTAGTATTTACCATTGTGTGGCCAACAAAATGAGGATCTTAGGAAAAGCATTATGCCTTAATGTAAGCAATATGCTATTATATGCACAGAGCATAAGTGCTTTTCAGATACATTTTTCTGAGAATTCTCCATTGTCTTTTGATTCAATTCAGACAGATTTAAATTTCATTAATTTCATTATTGACTCAGGAACATAGCCCTTTCAATCTTAACTTGTTTTCCTATCAGGGTTTGCTTTTTGAAAAGAGTACCCCTTAGTGATGATAAAAACAGTTCCTCTGTTCAGGAAAATGTTTTGATACACTGTCAGCCATTGAATATATAGCTCCTGAAGCAGAAAGCAGCATGGGATTTTATTATTTTTTTTTTTACTAACCAAAGATTCTGTTACTGATAACTAGTGTTTATTCTAAGGAAAAGATAATCTTTTAATAAAAACACCAACATCAAAAAAATCCCTCGGAAAAGCAAAAGGCTTTGGTCTCCAGTTACACATCCCTAAAGTGGTAAAAATGTGATCTTCTTGGCATCATTTCCATTGTGCAAATCAATTTATCTAGCTGCAGGTTCTGACAAAAAAAGCCGTAGCAAAGCTTGTTGTAGTGGTTTAAGGTGCTATTAGCTATTTATTCATCCTTACATCAGGGGTGGGAGAATGTAGTAAGGGAACAGACCTAACTGGCAAAGCTCACAGCCTGAGAAAATTTCTCTGCCTCACCTTCAGAAGCTTATGCATAAAAATGTGAATTGCAAGGGCTGCAAATAGCTTCTCATACCAACTCTGCTTGAGGGGCAGTTATGCCTGATAAGGAGGTGGGAGAGACAGATGGGAACGGCAATGCCTTGAGCTATGCCAGTGAGAATTTTCCAGAGACATGTGGTGAGAGCCTTGCCTCTGACTAGTGGGTTGGCGGCAGCCTCACTGCTTTGTAGGAGTTAATGCAGCTCTTGCTTTTAATGCCTGTGTCCTTGAGAGAAGATGTAAACATGTCTGTGAGGTGAAGAGGAAGCAAGAAAGACAAGAGGAGTAGCAAATACTGAGATACAAGACAGAAAAATATAAATTGTATTCTCTCCACAATATAGCATGCAAGGATGTGGCACTGAATGAGAAATTAGATACACTGCAATGTGACTTTGCCAAAGGTACATGATGTTAACCTAGCTTCTTCACTTTCTCTGGAAAGAGTACTGCTTTCCTAGGAGAAAACAAACGTGGGCAGCCTTCCAGTGTCTGAAGTGGGCCTACCAGGATGCTGGACAGGGACTCTTCATCAGGGACTACAGTGATAGGAAAGGGGCAATGGGCTCAAACGTAAACAGCAGAAGTTTAGGTTACATATAAGGAAGTTCTTCCTTGTGAGGGTGGTGTGGCACCGGAACAAGCTGTCCAAGAAGTGGTGGCTGCCCCACCCCTGGCAGTGTTCAAGGCCAGGCTGGACAGGGCTTTGAGCAACGTGGTCTAAGGTGAGGTGTCCCTGCCTCTGGATGATCCTTTGGTCCTTTCCAACCCAAACTATTCTGTGATTCTACGATTCTAAGAAGAGAATGTGTCATGGTGTCACCTGGGGAAGCCAGTGGAGATGGAGCATATGAGACATGGTACAGTAACATAAGGTGACTGAACCAACGCAGCATATTATGTTGAGAGCTAACCTTGAGAGTTTCTGAAGGGCCATGGAAGCCATTTTACCTAACAAACTCACTAATCCTTTGCCATGAAAAGAACGCGGTGTGCTGGTGAAATCCGTAGATGTGACGAAGTTGGAAGTCGCTGATGTGGCGGAGAACGACACAGTCGTTCAAGTGGGAACGCTGGCCCCGACGGGGAGCCGGGTCTGGCGCCAGAGCCGGGTCTCCCGGCGCACACTGCCGCCCAGCAGCACCCCCATGCCGCGGGCAGAAAGGTCCCGGCGGGGGGACCCCTCCTGCAGCCAGCAACAGCACAAAACAAACCGACCGAGGGCGCCGCACTGGGAAGCGGCTTGGCCCCTGTAGCGGCCGGGCGGGGCGAGGCCCCACCGGAGTCCGAGTAGCCGCCGCCCGCCCCTTCGCCTTGCCTCCGCCTTCCGCCGCCAGCCCCGGTGCTGCCTCCGCGGTGCCTGGCGGCGGCCCCTCCCGGCGACAGCAGCGACGACAGCGGGTGAGTGGCGGCGGGGAGAGGGAACGGGCCGGCAGTATTACAGGGAGCCGTCCTTCCCTCCGCCCCGGGGAAAAGGCGCTGCCCGGGCGGCGGCGGGCGGGAGCTCCTCTCCCGGGCGGACCCGTTTGGCGGTGGGAGCCCCGGCCTTCCGTAAAGCCCGGAGGGTTGGGGGTGCCTCGGTGGAAGGGGCCCGCGCTCTGCCTCTAAGCGCGGTCCGTCCGGCCGAGGAGCCATCTTCTGCGGTATGGGCTGGCCCTGCAGCTCGGTGCGGCGCTGCGGAGGTGTGCTGGTGCTAAACCACCGTGAGGTGAATTGCCAGCGGGTAACGAGAAGTTTGGGTGTACGGAAAAACCATGCTGGCTTCTAGCAGCGTAGCGGCGTCAGAAACACTAGAGTTTAGTAGTTGGCGTGCACTCTTGATAGCTGCTGTGCCCAGTATATGACGGTATAAAGTAAATATTTCAGTGTTCTTAAAATACCTAGAATTCCTTCTTCTTCACTCCTTACACAGCTGCGGTTCTCTGATCTTAAAAGTCTTGCATAATAATCTAGAATTATTTTTTTAATTCTAAATATTCCTAATTTGGCAGTGTATGTAGCTGGGGTGAAATAATTTTAAATTGATGTGAATTTAGAAAGTTAAAGAAAAAAAGCCTTTAGAATTAAAAGAACATCTTTAATGTGAAGCTAATTATGCTATTGTAATGACCAATATTAGAATTGGCAGTTTGACTAATGATAGCGTAAGCTTTCTGGTAGATGGGTTGTATTTTGTGCGGTAACTTGGAATGACATGTTTAGTGTTCACTTAAACAAAACCTAGAACTTCATAGAATTCATGCAAGGCAGTTGAAGCTGAGGAGCTCTGCTGCTGTGACTTCCCAAGGCAGCCGTGCAGAGTACCACGGCGGTGCATCCTGTTGCAATGTTTCCTCCTAGTCTGTTGATACCCACCTCAGTGTTGTTACTGTGCGTGAAGTATGAAACTGCAGTTTGAACGGGGCTTTACCTACAAACCCATGTTGATACTAAGCTTGCTCAGTGTTGCATGTTAAAAAGACATATTTTTGCTAATGAATTTGGGATCTGAAAGTCAGACTCTGTTACAAAGGCTTTTTACCTTTTGGATAGGTCAGGGATCAGGAGGTGGAGCTATGTCACTTAGTTTTAATAAAAAAAGAAACGAGGGGAAGAGTTTGTGGTGCATCCAGATGTCAATTTTTTAACTCTGCTTCTTTACCAGATCTGTGCAGAAATCCTGGTTTCTTGAACCACAGTGAAGGTCTCCGTACTCACTGAGCCCTATCAGGCACTCAGTGCAGAATCTGTACCACTTTTGTTCCCAACTGCATCCTTAGCACCTGTAGAAACTGCATTTCATGCTTTACTTCAGGGGGCCCAGTTCCTTGTGCTTGACACCAGATTTTGCCTGAGGAGTTCTACATGTAACAGTTTCATTGTGTTTATTTGGCTTAGCACAGCATAAATCCCAAAACACCTTTCAGGCGCCTGCAGTTAACAATTCTGGGTGCTTTATAGCCAAACAATGTTTTGTGTGACTGTAGTGTTGCCATCTACCAAATTTCATGTAGGCAAACTGTTGCGAGGCATTGGTGCAGGTTGATGAAAATAGCTGTGTTTCACAGCAAGGGGGTGCACAGGATGTTTGGCAGTGTAGTAGTTCCTTGGGATCACTATGAATGGAAATAAATGTTGGCCAGCTTGGGACACTTGTATAGTTTGTCTCTGGTTCAGTTCTGCTCTTGGTAGCAGGTATGTGGTAGCTGCTGTCCTCTCAGGCACTGCGTGCATCTACCTGCTGTTACCAGATGGATGTCGGAAATGTCTTGCCAGGATAACTGGAAAGCTGTGGCGTAGTTTAAAAAAACAAATCTACCACATACCCCAGCGAGGTGTTAAAATAGAAGATGTTCCATTTTTATTGAGGACACTGATGCAAAGTTGCAAGGCCTCTGAAGACCTGTGACGTTAACAGGATTCTCAGATTCTGTGGCAGCCTACGCTCTTGCTTTAAAACAACTTCCTGCCCCCTGTCGTCGTGTCCGTCCCCCCCCCCCCCCAGCCTTTCCACATTTCTCATATTTGGAGATTAACATCTGGTCACTTCCCCTCCAATATGGAGGTGCGGAGGCACTCTACCCATTCAAGGTTGAAATCAGTTATCCTGGAGCCATCTGTCTCCAGGCTACTGGGATTTATAAAGTGCTGTGACATTCCTGATGAATTGAGAACAGGTCAGGACAGCACAAAGGATTTATAGGTCTCCTAATAACTTTAACAAAATTTAATTTACCTTTTAGACCACAATGAACGTGGAACATGAAGTTAGCCTCTTAGTTGAGGAGATTCGGCGGTTGGGAACCAGAAGTAAGTATTGTAATTTCTCTTGACCCTACAGACAGATACAGTTATGTTATACATACATGTCAAACAGATGTAGTCATGCTGTATCAAGGTGTGAACTTGACAAATCTAATTAAGCGGGCTCAGATAACCTGAAAACATGGATATACACGTAATGTTGGACTCTATAGTGTTCTCTGTGTTCCATCCTGTAATGTGGTTCTGTTATGAAGTTAAATGTTTAAGCCTCTGCAGCACAGAGAATGTTGGACTGAAATCCAGCTCCCACAAAAATAAAACTGCAAAGTGACCCTTTCCTTTAGGTTTTCAACGCTTGCAACAGCCATCAAAGAAGAAGGCTACACTTTTTCCTTGCATCTCCTTTTCCTTCCATCTCCTTCTAGTGACTTCTGTACTTCAGAATTCATCCACTTCAATTCTGTTCATCACGGTGTTTGGAATTGATCTGTATGCCTAGAACTGATCTAGGAGTTACAGGCGTAGTGCCAACCTTCCGTAAGTTTGCTTAGGAGGTAGCTTTTTCTCTTAAGATTGGTTTTCAGTGTTAAAAGTCCTCTTTCTTTAGAAATATTTGTGCAATTTGTGGATCATAGAGGCATAGAATAGTTTGGGTTGGAAGGGACCTTAAAGATTATATAGTTCCAACCCCCTGCCATGGGCAAGGACACCTTCCACAAGATCAGGTTTCTCAAAGCCCCGTCCAACCTGGCCTTGAACACTGCCAGGGATGTTGTAGCCACAGCTTCTCTGGGCAACCTGTGCCAGTGCCTCACCACCCTCAGAGTGAAGAATTTTTTTCCTAATGTCTACCCTAAGTCTCCCTTCTGTCAGCTTTAAAGCCATTCCCCTTTGTCCTGTCACTACATGTCCTTGTAAAATGTCCCTCTCCAGAGAGGATGTGTTACCTGCTTGTATATTTCAGTTCTGATGCAATTGCCTTTTGTTCTACTTGTTTTTCACAACCTAAGCAAGTATGTATGGTTTAGTGACATGGTTTGGTGTGAGGTATCCCTGCCCATGGCAGGGGGTTTGGAAATTGATGACCTTAAGATCCTTTCCAACCCTAACTATTCTATGATTCTATGATTGTATGTATGTCTTGCATTTTGTGTCACTGCATCTGCCTTTTAGGAATAACCTAGCCAATCTTAACATGTATTTTAAAATTCTTGCTTTGTATGAGAAATAAATTCACATTGCAGCTTTTTCAGTGTGAACCTTAAAAATTAAATAGTGAAAAAAAAAGGGGAAAATGCTCCATTTTTATTATTTTAAATTTATTTCCTCCTAATGCTTTGGGGAGGAACAGCCTGTGCTGGTTTCAGAAAGTCATCAGTAAAAATAAACATAGCAGATATATGGTCCTTGATATGAGTCTCTGGAAAAAAGGCAGGAGTTCTGCCTACTTTTTATCATCAGCATTCATAGTATGTTCCCCAGTACCTTGGGAAACACTATGGGGTTTACTTTCAGTGTTCTGACGACATGTCACTTTGTTTCCCTAGTAATCGCCTAACTGAAACAAAATCTGCATGTGTTTTCATGTTGTGTCTTTGATTTAGATGCTGATGGACAAGTCAGCGTGAAATTTGGTGTGCTCTTTGCTGATGAAAAGTGTGCCAACCTCTTTGAAGCCCTGGTGGGAACTCTTAAGGCTGCAAAACGACGGAAGATTATCACTTATCAAGGGGAGCTACTTTTACAAGGCGTTCATGATGACGTTGATATCATGCTGCTGCAGGACTGATGCAGTGTTTCAGCTATGCATTAATGGAATTGTTTGAGATGATGACTTGCAACGTCCTTTGAATAAGGCTGATCATTCTAAGGTGCTTTTATAGTCAAAAGGAAACTGTCCTATTTTGGAAAACATTCCCTTTTGTAATTATTCCTAAAATTGTACTGTATGTGAGTAAGGTAAAAGATGGCATATCTCTCCTTTTTTTTTTTTTTTTTTTCCAAATCTCAGGTAAAGTTCTCAAATGTGTGATGGTTATTTTTCAACATAGGAAGAAGAGGACCAGTAATTTAATGTTTACAAATCAAAGCGTGCCATGAAAATGTAAAATAAAAGCACATGCTTAAATTTAGGTAATTCTTATTGCTGTTGTTTCTCTTTTTATTTGCAATCTGGAATGAAAGCAGACTGAATTGTGTGGTTCAGTTGATACACTGGAGGGAAGGAGTGCCATCCAGAGGGACCTTGACAAGCTTGTGAGGTGGGCTGATGCCAACCTCATGAAGTTTAACAATGCCAACTGCAAGGTCCTACACCTGGGTCGGAGCAATCCCAGGCACAGCTACAGGTTGGGCAGAGAAGAGATTCAGAGCAGCCCTGTGGAGAAGGACTTGGGGATGTTGGTTGATGAGAAAATGAACATGAGCCGGCTTCAGTGTGCGCTTGCAGCCCAGAAAGCCAACCGTATCCTGGGCTGCATCAAAAGGAGCGTGACCAGCAGGTCGAAGGAGGTGATCCTGCCCCTTTACTCTGCTCTCGTGAGACCTCACCTGGAGTATTATGTGCAGTTTTGGTGTCCTCAACATAAAAAGGACATGGAACTGTTACAACAATTCAGTTGAAAAATGACCATCTTTTGGAGTGACCTGATTGTGCACAAAAAGTCATGAATGGTAGCTGTACCTCATTCATCTCTGGCAGCATAATATGCATTTGTTTTTCTGTCCTGTAGAATTTTGAAGGAAGCCTGTGAGGAACTCACTGAATGCCTTCATGCAGTGTTAACCAGAAGATGGTACAGCAGGCTCAGATTTTGATTATTTTACTCACAGGAGTCATACTTCTTCTAAATCACTCAAAGCAGAAAGTGGGAGGGGAGGAAAGAAAAGCCCTTTTGATTGTTTTCTAGCTTACTGCTCATTCTTCTTAGTATATAAAAATTCTCCCTCCAGTATGGAGTAAGGGTTGCTGCATGAGGAAACCAGCAGTGGGTAAGCAAACTGCTTGCTGGTCTGTGCTTCCACTTTGCAGCTGCAGCTCTTAAAGTTGCAGGATGGGCGAATTTCCCTTTACTTAGCAGCCTTTTACAAGTACTGAATGCTTGAAAAGTGTCTCCTTATTTCCAGATACAGGAAATGCATGCATGGTTATGGAGTCTCCACAAAGCTGTGTAATTCCAGCTGCTGCCCCTTTCATCTTTGTTTGCTCTGTTCCTCACAACAGGAAAACAACTTAAATCCTGTGTGCAAACAGATCTGGGCTGCCTCTGCCTGGGCTGGCCCTAGAATCTGGAGAGCAGGGAAGTGATACACAGAGAAACTTGAGCTGTCTTGGGTCCAAGCCAGCTGGAGCAGAGAAGCAGAGCAGGAGCTCAGCACAGCTTGCTTGCTTCAGTGCCCTGTTTCTCCAGTGCACCTATTCTGCTTCCAGACCTGAGCTGACAAGTGCTTGTACCTCTGCACTCCACAGGTGGAAAGAAAGGGGATCAAGACCATGCCCTCTGCGTTAGAGGTAAGATCAGACAGCTCTGCATTGCCAGATAGCCACAGCTGTTTTTTCTTCTGCCTCTATTTTGTTGAAAGCCTGAGTCATTGTCTGGGTTCACAGGATAGCCTGAGTATGCTGACAGATGCAGAGTGCTCTGTGATTGTCTGAGATGCTGGGTTTGGTATGGGAGGGCACCAGCATGCCCAAGCCAGGATATAGTTCTCTGTGCATGTTCACAACAGCTCTTTAAGCTCTGAAGGGGACTTGGTCTTGAAAATGTAGTGAAACTCCCCCCCCAAAAAAAATCCCAAACCAGTAAATTTCAGGCTCAGTGCTGAGTTGGAGCCAAGACATGACTATGAAGAGATCTTTACATCTCTCTCATTTTGGATTTATCCTCTTAATAATGCTGATGTGTTTGGGGTTTCTGGGAACATCACAGAAAAAGAGAGAAACTTGGCACTAAAATCTGTAAAAATGAGAGGAGAATGTGACTGTGTACTGCTCAGGGGAGCTGAGATTAGTTTTTCCTCTGTTTCTGAAAGCAGAAGAGGAACAACATGAACAAGGATGTATATCCTTGCCCTCAGAGCAATGCTTTATGCATCTACTGGCTCCAGAACTGTGTGGCCTTCTTCACTTCAGGTTATATACCAGCACTGTTGACTTTGTTTCTAATTGTTTGTTTTTTTTTCAGAGGAACTCAAATACCGTACTAACATTACTTCACATGCATGGGAGCACACCTCTGTTAAGGAAACAATGACTGCAGCAAATGGCCTGGACAGAAGATGTAGTTCCTGGAGTGCTTGACGCAATAATAGAAAAGCTAACTATGGGGAAGACATTACCTATAAGCAGTAGAACAATCAGCAGCCCCTGTAATGGGTTCATGACCTTGCCAGCCATGAGTCCGGAGGAAGTTTGTAGGTCAGCCAGGAGCACCAGTAGTTCCAAAACAGCAAGTCAATTTCCTGACTCCTGGAAAGTACAATGATACAGAGATCTTTGACAAATGTTTAAAAGGGTTGTCAGTAGGATTGTTACCTGCCTGTGATAGTGCTAGGAAATTACTGAAAAAGTAGTTTAGCTAACTCAGTCTGCATCTACATAATATCTGAGAGCATCGTGGAATCTCAAAGCAAGTTGAATGAGCTCAAAGCAAATCTAGCTGGTGCAATTTAAGATGTTACCGTTGTATGTCTTCAGCAGGGACTGTTAGAGTAACCAGTGGAGTGGAGTGTGTGCACTCACCTCAGCTATTTCCATGAAAAATCCAGTGACTGGAGATGAAAGTGCTTTTCAAAGTGATTTTTACTAAGCTGTGAAGGTGTTGAGGTGCAAGTTTGTGTAACCTCCAGTAAGGGTTATTAACATATTAAACTTTGCAGCCATTTGTCTTGTGAGCATAAGTTTGCTCTGTGAACTTGAGCAAAGGAAGGGTTGAAGTATATGCTGTATCTTTTATGTGCCTCTCATGTTGGAATGAATTTTAAAAGCACATGTTGTGTTTTGCTTGTTTCTCCTCTTCCCTTCAAAGCTTTGCTGGAGGCATTCCTTGCACTTCAAGCGACTTCTCTCAGTGACAGTAATGTCACTTTTGCCATTCATATCTGTGTAAAGTTGGTTGTCTTTACTTAGTTTCTTTGTCACAAACACTTGAAGGAAAGAACAAATGTAAGAGGAGCAGGAAGTGCTTACATGCTGAAAACTGATTATATTGCTACTGATACTTAACATTTTTATTTAAAGATAGTTTGATGTTTTAGAAATAGGCTGAGATTCTCAGAAGCACAAAGTATTAAGTGTGTTTAAACAGTTGCAGAGCCTTTGCTAAGATTACGCAGCATGAACCGATGAGTGTCACAGGACTGGCCTTATGGTTCCATATCAAAACACTAACCATTAATGATGCCTTTGTATCACCTCCACCTCAAGCAAACATTCGGTCTGTAACAGAATCTTTTTTTCTGATATCTAAGAAAGATATTCATTCCAAAGCCATCCGTGAAGTGTAGAACTAAATATAAACAAAGCAATTTGAAGGAAAATGAACTGTTATACAAATATATATATGTACTTACATAAATATATTTGTATAGCAGTATATATATATAACTGTACATATATATATACACGGAGCACTGTTTCAGTGCTCTGACAGCTATTTGGAACAAGCTGGGTTGAAGAGTATGAGTTTGGTGACCCAGTGACATATTTTTAAGCCTGAATACCTTTCAGAACAAAAGTCAGTATGAAATGCTTTGTTTTGCAACCTGAAAGGTGATGGTACGTGCCAAAATGCTTGCTTTCTTTTCCTGCTTTCCTACAGACCAGTCAGTTTTCACTCTGGAAACTGTCCCAACAGTTTGGAAAACGCCAAGATAGTCCCTTTGGTGTGTTTATTGTGTACAAGAGAAAAAGACAAGGACAAAAGAACTGCTTAGTGCTCTCCAATACAAGCAAGCAGATTCCAAGTCAAGACTGTTCATGTTACAGGTGACACTAAAACCAGCAGTCTGCCTTTGCTCAAAGGTCCAGCACCCGTACCAACTTAGATCTCTTGAGGTCTGATTTTCAAGGCAAGAGTTCTTCATTGTTTTGATCTGAAATGGCATTCTCAAAGAAAATCAATAGCAGGTTGAAATGTTCCTCCAGTGCAATGATTTCAAGGGATCCCTATGGTCAATATTTCCAGGTACTCTTAAAAAAAAAAACCCAACAACAACCAAACCTGAATAAATTAGCTAAGGTTAAGTGTTTGACATTGTTTCTAGAAAGCCAGTGTATTTAAGAACTAGTTGCGTAAACTGCTTAGTGTGAAATTGTTTTCCTGAGGGTCGCAGTAAGGTTTAGTTCTGCCGCTCTGAGTACAGCTTTAGCCTCAAATGCACTGTAGGTGCACATTTAAGTAGCTGAAGTTAGTCTCATGGCAGGTATTTTGAAAAGTACACTAGACACGTTATCTTGCAGTGTAGCCTAGATGTCATCACAGATTATGCTTATTTCTGCCAGAGCACCTGAGCGACTTGGGGAGGTTGAATACCATGATGGTAACCTGGGGAGGGAGTAGTGCCATCTACAAACACACTCCTGAGTCTTGTCAGATCAGATCTAGATCAAACCTCATTTCAGAGAAATGCTTAGTGTCAGACCTGAATATTTTCACAAATACAGCAGCATGATGCCCATGACCTTGCTCTTTTTTGGAGCTTATGCCTGCACAACCACTGTAAGCTGAGTGACGCTTTTGACAGCCACCTTGCCATGCTTAAAGCTGTTCACCAGAACACATAATAGTATGTACTATCTATTTGCATATGCATATTATGCATACGTAGTGGTACAACAGGTGGTCAAAACATGACTATTTTTCCCCAGTGGGGAAATACTAAATGACAATTATGTTTGAATGGGAATATAGTGAGCTGCATTTTCTGGTCTTTGCTAAGTCTGCTAAATAGAAGATCACAAACATTAACTGAGAGTTTGTATCTTGCAGAATTAGGTCTTTCATGAAGCTTTGGTGGTAGAAGACGTATTATTGCCGGGTCTTTTTTAGTCAAGGGGCCTTGGTCTGTCTCTGCAGCTGATGTTCTAAAGAGTTTCCTTTATAAAATTGTGTTTTGGAGCACAGTAAGATTT